CGAAGCAGCTGGGAAGGGAGTGTTGGTTTATCTACGAGGGCAAGAAGGAAGAGGCATTGGTTTAGGCAACAAGCTTCTTGCGTATAATTTACAAGATGCCGGGAGAGACACTGTTGAAGCCAACGAAGATTTAGGATTGCCTATCGATTCCAGAGATTACAGTGTCGGTGCACAAGTACGTTTCTCATAAACGACTCGTAAATCTATAAAAGAACTTGATTCTCGAGAGTCTACGATAGCTGTTTTATGCGTTTTTTATTCTTTGAAAATGCTTTTAATAAAGTTGGGGTAAAAGGCATATTTTGACGTTATTGAATTTGAAACTTTACAGATTCTAAGAGATCTTGGCGTAAGAACAATGAGGCTAATGACGAACAACCCAGCAAAATACGTAGGGCTAAAGGGATATGGATTGACAGTTTCGAGCAGAGTTCCTCTCGTAACGCCAATTACTAAAGACAACAAAAAATACCTAGAAACTAAGCGAGCCAAAATGGGTCATGTTTACGGCTTGGAATTCAACGGTGGATTAAGAACCCTAATGGATGCCCATAAAAAATCCGACGCTAATGTCTCGAGTGATGCTTTAGCTAATTAAGGGTATGTCTGGAATAACTTTCTGTGTCAAAATAACGACTTATAATCTTTACAAAGTTATCCCAAACGAGTCCTATCTTCTTTCTCGCTATTCTATCTTAGGTGAAAGCCCGAAAAAATTCCATATTTAACGCATTCGAGACGACTTCTCCTTATCCAACCAGCTGTGTTTTTCTTATTTTAAGTATTTTGAGAATCTTAGACCAATCAACGTCAAAATTAGAAGACTCGATACATTATTTAAATAAAAGATAATACTTAATATATTCTTAGAATAAAACTTTTTATCGGAAATTAATATTTCTACGGTCCGTAAATTCGATATCAATATAAAAGATGAAACGACATTTTCATTATATATTATAAAATCAATGAAATATTTAAAAAAATAATAAATATAATATTTTTCGTCCTATGAATAAATTTGTAACAATTTAATTTTTATCGAGATTTATTTATTTTTTATAAAATTAATTTAAGTTTATAAATAAGAGGGATTCCAAAACTGCATCACTTGTGCTTGAGCTTTGGAAGAGCCATTTTCAGCCTCAACAATGGCTTTTACAAGCTTCTCTTGCCATTCGTCATCGTCCACTTCTCATCTTCGGTAAGCTCATCTCGTACTCTCGGTTAAATTTATCGTCTTCGTCGTTGTTTTTTTGGGTAGCTCGTGTTGATTATGAGTGATCGTTAGGTTGACTATCATTAGCTTTGAGCTCAAATCGACGTTGAAAACTGATCTTGTTGATTTTTTTTTTTTGGTTCAAAAGGGTCGGTTTTTAATTATTATGAACGTGAAAAAAGCAATTTTAACCGTTTCAAAATCACTCATTATATTTATACTTTTTATTTCGTGATTTAGAAAATGGAAAGATCTCCGAGGTTTTGCGATCAAACCCTACACACCAACATTTTTTCCCTCCGTCATCAAACTTGCTAAATTCTCGATAGTCACCAACCGTTGCATTCAAGCTAGAGATGGGGTTGATGTCAATGCCACCGTCGCAAACAATACTATCGCTGATGTTAATGACAAGTTGATTTCGATTGACGAGTCAAACCTCAATCGTTTGGTCGAAGAGTTTTCGTCCATTGAAGAAGCCATTGAAGACATACGTCAGGGGAAGGTAGTAACGATCGTTATTGTTATTGTTATCGTTGTTGTTGTTATTATTATCGTCTTTCTTTGAGTTGCAGATGGCGGTGGTGGTTGACGATGAAAATCTAAACAAAGGAGGTTTGATAATGGCAGCGGAGGCGGCGACGACGGAGGCGATGGCTTTCATGGAAAAGCACGGAACCGGGATTGTTTATGTGGGGATGAAAAGGGAAGATCTTGAGAGGTTGGAAACTCTGTTAATGGTGGACATAACCGCCGGAGTTTCATCGGAAGATAGGGCGGCGACCGCAGTGGCATTAGCATCAAGACACTCAAAACCTTCTGATTTTAAACAACTCGGCCATATCCTTCCCCTTCGATACACCGAAGGTGGTGTTCTGAAGAGGCCCGGACGCGCTGAAGCCTCGGTCGATCTTGCTCGGCTCGCCGGACTCAACTCGGTTGGAATTCTCAGTGAGATCGTCATTGACAACGAACTCGGTCCCACGGCTAGGCTCTCGAAACTACGCCAGTTTGTGAACCATCATAGCCTTAAAATCATCTCCATTGCTGACTTAATTAGGTCGAGTTTCTCGAGATAAAATATTGTAGGGTTTAGAGTTTAGGGTTTAGCACGAGAGAGCTGATCTTGATGGTTTCGACAGGTATAGAAGGAAGAAGGAGATATCAATTGAGCGCGTCGGAGCTCCTACAAGGATGCCCACAACATGGGGAACATTCAATGCCTATTGTTACAAATCCACCTTAGATGGCATCGAACATATTGCAATGGTGATGGTAATAATACTCGTTTTTCTTTCGAACCCACGATGATCGACGTCTTTCTTAATAAAATTCAACTCATTTTATCATCTTTTGTGAAGGGCGACGTTAGTAACGGAGAAGATATTCTAGTGAGAGTGCACTCTGAATGCTTCACTGGAGACATATTCGGATCAACTAGATGCGACTGCGGAAAGCAGCTAGCTTTAGCAATGCAACAAATCAAGGCAGCTAAAAAAGGAGTGCTCGTATATCTACGAGGGCAAGAAGGAAGAGGGATCGGTTTAGGCAACAAGCTTCTCGCATACAATTTGCAAGATGCCGGGAGGGACACCGTCGAAGCCAACGAAGATCTAGGATTACCTATCGATTCTAGAGATTATAGCGTCGGTGCACAGGTACGTTTCTCATAATCGGCCTGTAAAATTTACAAATGAGTATTTTGACGTTATTGAGTTTGAAACTCTGCAGATTCTACGAGATCTTGGAGTAAGAACAATGAGACTAATGACGAACAATCCAACAAAGTACATAGGGCTAAAGGGATACGGGTTGGGAGTTTCGGGCAGAGTTCCTCTTGTAACACCAATTACTAAGGACAACAAACGATATCTCGAAACTAAGAGAGCCAAAATGGGTCACGTGTATGGCTTGGAATTCAACGGTGAATTTAGAAACCCTAATGGATGCCAATAAAAAAACCGATGCTAACGCTTCGAGCGATGCTTTGGCTAATTAAATTCTTCCTCGCACCCTTGAAAGCTCGATATTTGTTAAATTAAAGGCGTGTTTGAAGGTACTTTTACGAGATTAATAGTTGTATCGATATATTTTTAAATAATTATTTTATGAGAGCAGTTTATTATTCAATCCAAACCTTCAAATTTGATGGCTTTATTTTATTATTTCTTGAATTAATAATGCATTTAACTTTTATATAAAATATTTTATTTATTTATTTTACCAACAGCTCAGTTTTGTCCTATTAATGTAATAATTTTGAGAAATAAGGTATTTTGAATTAAACTAAATTTTAATATAAATTTGAACGTATTAATTCATATTTAATATTTATTATTTATAATAATTTATAAAAGTATTTTATGTGTAGACTAAATCAAATAAATTTGTATATAAAAATACTTTTGAGGGAATATAGTGTTTTAATTTTAAACATTTTATTTAAAAAAAATTTAAATAAAAAAATTTATAATTATTAATTTATTTAATGTTATAATATTTATCCATTTTTTTTTATCTTTTATAATGTATTTAAATAAATAAATAAACTGAAAATTACCACGATTCCACTCCACTCATTCGATTCGGGTCTAACTTGAAACCCGATAACCCGAAGTAATGACATATAGACAAGTGTCAATGGCAAGTGGCAAAGTGGGCCCAACCCCAGTGGACTGGAGGCTCTTAGAAAAAGGATAAGACCCCCAAAAATGGGTCCTAGTCAACTCTGTCGCGCCACGAAATAACCTCTCAATTTCCTTAAAAAAAAAAAAGCAAAAGAGAAAAAGTTCAAATTCATTCCCTTTGGTCCCCCCAAAAAAACTCAATTTTAGAAAGATATAACAAATAAATAAATATATATATATATATATGGAATATTATATGACATTTACTAATTTTCTTCCTTTTTTTTTTTACAAAATACATTTTATATTTAACATATATCTAAAAAGTCATTAACCTATTTAATTTTTTTTTAAAAAATCACTACAAAATTAAAAGTCTAGCCCTATTAAACAGAAAATTTTATTTTTTATATTTAATAAATCACTTAAAATTATTAATTATTTAGAATTTAATCAATATGAAATTAATATTGGCATTTAATGTTGGATGTCAGTGCCAGCATGGTCTTTTGTAATTAAATAATCACCACGTGGCAGGATTTTTATTACAATATCTAATATTTTATTGTAAATTATTATTACAAAAAAATAATACAAATTATTCATTTACCTAATAAAAATAAATATCTAAGATCTTAAGCAATAATAAATCTTTATAACAAGTTTCAAGATTAATAATTATTATCGATTTAATAATAATCATTTATAAAATTCAAAATTTTAATATATTTCTGTCGTGAATTTAGACAATTTCTATTGTATTATTTAAAAAAATTGACAAAGCATGAATATGATAAGGATGGTATGTTATGATCTACATTATTCTTATTCTTTAATATCAACTTCAGTCTCATTCCCAAATCCATTTTGTTCTAAAAAAAAGAAAACATCTGATTAAAATCAACAACCATTAATTCAATCAATGTTCGTCGACTCAACACAAGATTTGTTGTTGTTCTTGAGCTGGTGGATCATAAGCCCTCAAAAGATTTGTTTTTTTTTTTTTAGATCTGGGATCTCAGTTCCATACCAAATAATTGAGTGGAAAATTGTTTGTTTATATGTGTTTTGGTTGAAGTACTAATTTATCGTTCAAAAATTCGAAAAAGGAATAAAAAATTCTGTTTGTGATTTGAATATTGGGTTTTTAAATCCCTATCATTCCATTGGCGATAGCAGTTAATCGCTTACGACTAACCGACTTGAATACAAGTTCTTGGTTGATTCCTTGCCCGCCCCACCAACCCTCCTTTTTCTGTTTGATTTGGCTTCCTCCTTTTTCCGCCGTATAAATAAAAACCCAAATTCTGAAATCTTCAAACCATTTCACCTGCTTAAGAGATTTCTGCGCCAATGGCTTTTAGAACCGTCTCGTTCCAATCTACGCCTCCCATTTCTCATCTTCAGTAAGCTATTCTTTGTATTCTGATTTTCGAGTGATTTTCTAGCGATTTTCTCTGTAATCGTTGAATTCTTTGGGTTTCGTATTTGATTTTTGATGCGTCATTCAATTATCGTCTTGTTTGAGAGTAATCTGTTCGAATCATATGCGATTTTCGTTTCTGGGTTTCTCGTTTTGATGGATTGCTGCGTTTTATACCTCGATTTTGCTTCATTTTCATGATTCTGATATCCAAATCGGTTGAGATCAAGTTTGATGATGAAATTTCACTGTTTATTTGTTTGGATCTTACTTACTTCGAAGTCTCGTATGATCATCTGAGGCCTCTGTATTCTTCTCTGTTAGAACAGTCGAAATTTTCGCATCGTCATATGAACATCTCGCATTTTACTACCAATTGATTTAAGAGAAATGAAGAAATAACATCATGTTATGCATTAAATTCTTGATCCCATTTGGATTAGCTATTGTTATTTGAGTTTAACAGGCTTTTGGCACGAATTTTTGCTCTACATTCCACAAAAAAACTAAATCTAGCTATTAAGTTTTACTATTGAAGCTTAAGAACATTGATTAGAATGTGTTTCCGGTAGGAATTCTTTAAGTAAATGAAGTATGTTAGATGTTTTCTATGAATTTTCTCTAAACAAATTGCCTGATTTTTGTATGATGTAGAAGATTCAAAGACTTGCAGTCTTTTGGTGGAATCAATCATGTTAAACCGTACGTTGCAACTAGCCTCGTTTCGGAGTTAACCTCGAGCTGTAAAGCTAGTAAACTGTTTTTAGGCACCAGGGGTTCAGTCCAACCAAGAGCTACGTTGATATCTGGTGAAGGAGGAGTTCTGTCTTCTTCCAATGGCAATGCTGTTGTTTCGAACGATATCGTCCTTGGAAATCAGCTAGATTCAGCTTCTACTCGAAATAGTTTTCCCGTTGGTGAAGATGAATATGATTTTGATCGTCCCACCGCAGGTTTCGCTGCTGTTGCTGATGCAGTCGAAGATATTCGACAGGGAAAGGTTGTCCAATATGACATGGAGCATTTCTTTTTCTTGTTTTTTTTTTTCCTTTTCATCTTAGTAACAAGAACAGTGATGTTGCAGATGGTGCTTGTTGTTGATGATGAAGATAGAGAAAACGAGGGAGATTTGATAATGGCAGCACAAGCTGCTACTCCTGAGGCTATGGCTTTCATTGTAAAACATGGAACAGGAATTGTTTGTGTAGCCATGAAAGGTGAAGATCTGGAGAGGTTACGGATTCCGCTCATGGTGAACGAAAAGGAGAACGAGGAGAAGCTTTGTACTGCTTTTACAGTGACAGTGGTATGAATTCTTCACTTGCCATTTTCGATTATCATTCAGCTCCATATATGTAATGTGAGATCCCACCAGGGTGTGGAAATCTCTCACTAGCAAACCCGTTTTAAAAACCTTGAGGGAAAAGCTCAAAGAGGACAATATCTGTTAGCGGTGGCCTTGAGCTGTTACAAATGGTATCAGATCTAAACATCGGGCGGCATACCAGAAAGGACGCTGGACCCCCGAGGGGGTGGATTGTGAGATCCCATATCGGTTAGAGAGGGGAACGAAGCATTCCGTATAAGAGTGTGAAAACCTCTCTCTCTAGCATACTTGTTTTAAAACTGTGAAGTTGACGGCAATACGTAACGGGCCAAAACGGACAATACTTGTTAGCGGTGGGCTTGAGCTGTTACATGTAAACTGAGCAATATTATGAACACTATGCCACGATAATTTCGTATAGATCTAATGCAAGTTTGGGACGATGATTTCTTCAGGATGCAAGAGAAGGTACAACCACCGGAGTTTCAGCTAGTGATAGGGCAACAACAGTGTTGAAACTTGCCTCAAGAGATTCAAAACCTTATGATTTTAAGAGACCTGGCCATATATTTCCCCTCAAGTACAGGGAAGGTGGTGTTTTGAAGAGAGCTGGACATACCGAAGCATCTGTCGACCTTGCCATGCTTGCTGGATTAGAACCGGTCGGTATCCTTTGTGAGGTGGTTGATGAAGATGGTTCCATGGCTAGGTTACCGAAACTTCGCGAATTTGCGAAACGGGAAAACCTGAAAATCATTTCCATTGCTGATTTAGTCAGGTAAATCAATATCTTTCTTGCAAGAGTTTTGATTGTGTTAGCTCTTGTTTACTTAGTTTTTTTCCTATGAGTTGGAGAGGGGAACGAAACATTTCTTATAAAAGTGTAGAAATCTCTTTCTAGTAGATGCGTTTTAAAACTGTGAGGCTAATGGCTATATGTAATGAGCCAAAATGGACAATATCTGTTAGCGTTAGGTTTGAACTGTTATAAATGGTTTCAAAGCTAGTCACTTGGGTGGTGTCCCGGCTAGGACACTGTACCTAAGAGGGTGGATTGTGAGATCTCACATTGGTTGGAGAGGGAAACAAAACATTCCTTATAAAGGTGTGGAAACCTCTCCCTAGTAGATGCATTTTAAAACTGTGAGGCGAGCAAAAGCGGACAATATATACTAGCGGTGGGTTTGGGCTGTTACACTTCATATGAACACCAGTTTCTTGCTTGCATAATTATCTTCATTTCAAGTTACGACGAAACAATCAATGTTGTATCAATGTTTCCTTCTCTGTCATTTTTTCGTCCCCGAGTTTAGTAATCTTATAAATCAGATCTAATATATTATGGTATCGACAGGTATAGGAGGAAGAGAGATAGATTAGTCGAATGTGCCGGGGCTGCTGCTCGCATGCCGACTACATGGGGACCGTTTCAGGCATATTGCTACCGATCTATTTTGGATGGCATTGAGCATATTGCTATGGTTAAGGTAAGGCTAAGCTTTGTGAACCATTTGCTATTACTCGTAGCACATGATGATCCTACCCGATATTATATGCACGGTGTGCTCGGTTAAATGGACTTTCAGCATTGTAATGAGGTCAAGCCTTGCATTGTGCAGGGTGATATTGGTGATGGACAAGATATTCTGGTGAGAGTACACTCGGAATGTCTCACCGGAGACATTTTCGGATCAGCGAGATGCGACTGTGGAAACCAGCTTGCTCTAGCAATGCAGCTGATCGAAGCTGCAGGCAGGGGTGTCTTGGTTTATCTCCGTGGTCATGAAGGACGAGGCATAGGTTTGGGCCACAAACTTCGTGCGTATAACTTGCAAGATGCCGGGCGGGATACTGTCGAAGCGAACGAGGAACTAGGACTGCCTGTGGATTCTCGAGAATATGGCATTGGTGCACAGGTACGCAGATTTACGCCTTCAAACGACAAACCGACTTGGTATGATTGTACTATATCTGATCCTCCTCTTTGTTGGTTGCAGATTCTAAGAGATCTCGGAGTAAGAACAATGAAGCTCATGACAAATAACCCAACAAAGTACAAAGGATTGAAGGGTTATGGCTTAGAAGTTTCCGGCAGAGTTCCTCTGATAACCCCAATTACAAAGGACAACAAGAGATACCTCGAGACGAAGCGTGCCAAAATGGGGCACATCTACAACCTCGATTTTGGTAGCAGATTTAGAAATTTGATCGACGACCATCAAACGTCGAACAGTAGTGCAGAATCGAGCGACGCTGTGGCGTAAGCTAAGCTAAGCAACGTCGAAAACGAGAAGGGGTTGGAAGTGAAAGGAATGCTGCTGGCTGACCCCATAAGCAAAATGAAGCCTTACAGGAAATACTATTAGTATTGATTTAGTTTAATATGTTCACTTAATTGTTTGATTATGATATTTATGATAAGATTGAACCCTCAAAACCCATAGTATCAAACTTTATATATATATATATATATATATATAGATATATATATCCTTTTCAAACACTTTTTTTGGACTTTTTGATTTTGTTATTTAATTTGATTCAAATTTCATGTCCCAATTTCACGAAACCTAAGTTTAATTATTTAGTTAAATAATTACTGTGACACCCGAATAAAAGAGGAGTACACGAATGAATGAAGACCACATTTGAATTCTAATAGCTCAAGCTCATTGCTAGCATTGGTTACTAATGGTGGTATTAGAGTTAGGCACTGAGCATTGTGCCAGTGAGGACGCTAAGTCTCGACGGAGGGTGGACACCAAGATACTAGGCTCCGAAGGGAGGTGGACACTAGGCGGCGTGCCAGCAATGCTGGATGGACACCAAGATACTAGGCTCCAAAGGGAGGTGGACACTAGGCGGCGTGCCAGCGAGGATGCTGGACCTTGAAAAGGGTGGAATGTGAGATCCCATGGGGAGTAGAACGAAACAATGTGACAATGTGAGATCCCACATCAATTAGGGAGTAGAACGAAACATTGTTTATAAGAGCATGAAAATATATTCCTAATATTTTTTTTATCAAGCGCCAAATCCAGATTCTAAATCTTGGTCTGAAACTTGGGCATGAGTCTTACAGTCATGATAAAGACATTACAACCTAACCTTTTATCTCAAGATTAAATTTGTGACATAATGCTATTTATAATTGGTTCCAAATTTAATTATTTTTAATTTTTCAATAATAGTAAAAAAAAAATAAAAATTAATTGAAAAAACAATACACTTTACCAACTTAAAATTAAAATTAAAATTTTAGAATAAGATAGATATTTGTGAAAGACATGGAAACAACATACTCTAAACTCAAGTTTCACGCCATTTTTTAAGAAAATATCGGATTTTTATTCTAAACTTATTAATTCAACAATTATTAGCTTAATCAAAATCAATAATTTCAATTTAATTAAAAAATATATATATAGAGATTGAGTTAAATTATATTATATATAGTTCACCAATTTCTATGAAAATAATTTTCAACAATTATTTTAAAATAATAATAACAATAAATTATGATAATTTTTTAGTTGAAAAAAATAATGAGAATTATTTACATAAAAGAATATGACAACTGTTATGCCTTACTGGTGGAGCATAAACTACTCAATTTTGACTTTATCATAACCCAAATATTCTTTTTAATTAATGGGATTAAGATTTTTATAATTATATTAAATTTTATTTCATTTTTATATTCCACATTTAATACTTTTATTTATATATATAAAAGGTTTATATTTTGTTTTAATTTATAATGTCTATACCCTTCAAATTAGTTGATTTATGCTCAAATTAACATTCCGCTCGAGAGATTGTATCTGTCTGATAAGCTCACCCCTAACAGAGATTGTCTACTTTAGTCCGTTATGTATTACTCTCAGTCTCACAGTTTTAAAACGCGTTTAGTAAAGAGAGATTTCTGTATCTTTATAAAGAATGTTTTGTTTCCCTCTCCAACTGACGTGGGATCTCACAAAATATGTCACGTATTTCATTTTATTAGAAAACATAAATCTATATCTAACGAGTTTAAAGAGACAATCAAACTGTGACGGTTTTATTGAATAAGTTGTCTTCATCGTTCTAACTCTATTTCCAAGCGGGCTCACTAAAAAATAAATCCTCCATTGGATTAGAGCTTATATATACATCTATTCACAGAGGTTCATTAGGCCATCAAAGTCTTCCCCTTCGCCATCTTTCTTCTTCTTCTTCTTAACAATGGCAGCTCGTCCCTCGGCAGTTCTCAGCTTCGTGCTGGCGGTGCTGCTGCTCGTTTGTGTCGCTAACGGGCATGAGGGCCACGTGCATCCCCCGTCCTCCGAGCCTACTGCCTCTCCACCACCGGGGGTGAATGCTGCCATCATGAACAGCTTTTCATACTCTTGGTCTATGGTTATGGCCATGGTGGCTGCTTCTTGGATGCTGTTTTGATTGATTTGTTGCTATTTTGAACTTCAATTTCTTCATGAAATTTGTATCCAAAAATTTGTTTCATTATTGTGCGAATATTGGCGTGAACTTTTGTTTTGTATTGATTATGTGGGTATCGTATGATCTTTAAGTACGATCATTTGATTCTATCTCTTATATTCGTGTTTTAAAGAGGGTCGGAACGTGTGGTCTTGAAGTTAAAGCTTCAATCAATCTTTAGAGTCTCGTAGTCTCTATATTAGTTCACTAGAAAATTTTAATTTTATGAACCTTTCCAATAGAGGAAATCGAGAAAACGTCTTTTATTTATAGAGCTTTTCGTGAGCATTTGTATTACGTTTAAAAAATATTTATGAAATTTAAAAAATAGTCCGATGAAAACTGTCTATGAGCACCTCATACATTATTTCCAAACTTTTTAATGTTATTTTTTAAAATTCATGACTATTTTTAAAACGTGCTACTAACGATAAAGGTATTTTCAAAAAAAAAGTTTAACGTATTAATGAAACATTTGAAAACTGAAGGCATCTTCAAGAGGAAGTGCGAAGTTTAGGAGTGTTTTTGTAATAGCCCAAGCTCACCGTTGGTAGATGCTGTCTCTTTTTGCCCGTTACATATCGTCGTCAGCCTCATGATTTTAAAACGAGTCTACTAATGACATGTTTCACACTCTTACAAGAAATGTTTCATTCATTTCCCCAACCAATGTGGGATCGCACAATCCACCCACTTGGAGGCTAGTGTTCTTGCTGGCACACCGCCTAGTGTCTGGCTTTGATATCATTTGTAACAGTTCAAGCCCACCGCTAGTAGATATTGTCCATTTTGACCTATTACATATAACTGTTAGCCTCACGGTTTTAAAGCACGTATACTAATGAGAGATATCCCCACCCTTAATAAGAATTATTTTAGCGAAAAATTTTAATCGAAAAAATTGTGGTGGTATATAACGCCCGAGCGAAAATTCAATGGGCATGGAAAGCATGGTTTTGTTGGACGTTAAATCATGTGAGTTTGAACAAAAAAGAGAGAATTTAGGTATTAAAGAAAAAGGGAAGCCTCACAAGTCACAACATAATGCCTTCTCCTTTTAGCTTTAGTAAAACATTTATCGAGGGTAGTTCAACCTTCTTTTTCAATTTTTTTTAACTTAAAAATTTCTAAAAACTCGACAAAATTAATATATATTTTTTAAGAGTGAGGAAACTTTTGCTCAGTAGACGCATTTTAAGTCTATGAGATTGACAACGATACATAACGAGCCAAAACAGACAATATCTGCTAGCGATAAGCTTGAGTTGTTACAATTGGTATCAGAGTCAGACACCGAGCGTGCCAATAAGAACGTTGGGCTTTAAGGGGTGGATTGTGAGCTCGCTCATTGGTTGGAGAGGGGAACAAAACATTTTTTCCCTATTTAGAACTGTGAGGCTGACTTCAATAATAGACTATAATTGCTGGAATTTGGCTGTTGTAATAGGTCTGTTCATTCATGAGTTTCCTAAAATTAATTTTGGTTTAATTAAAATTATATGAATTTATTACTAATTTTAAAATATACTTTTATTTATTACTAATTTAAATATACTTTTATTTATTATAATTTTATTGGAAAATAACGTAAATTTTAAGAAAAATACAAAAACGGTAGCTGAAACGGAAATCCTATCTGTTTCAGTTTCACATTTATAATTATTACATACCAAATAAAAATATATAAATCATTAAATAATTTCTCTTTTCATATTCTCAATAAATAACTTTATTTACATATTTAGACCTAGTGGGGCCCACCCTGCCAGTCCGGATCCAGGCTGTAACGCCCTTTTAACGGTCATGTCCCAGCCCAAAGTTTTTAAGACCGTTACAAATTGTCGTATCTGAGTATTTAATTAATATTAAAATTAATCCCTTCAAAATCCAGATAATCAGAGCGTCCACGTGGACGTTTTAGATTAATTCACAACTGTATCGTTATGGTGGACCCGTGCCGCAGAAAGCCCAAGCCAGTCCAGCTAGGATTCTTCACGCAATAAAAGGAAAGTAAATAAATAACCGCCTCTTTTGGGTATGATTGGCTACACTCATTATTACGCCAACCTTGAATTTCGGATTTCTATCCGCCGTTCATCATAGTCCGATCCAACGGCTGGCGTGGATCTAGCTTTGACTCATCGGACTCTCACTGTGTTTTTTTGTTCTATATATACTTCCTCTCTGCTACTGGTTTGAACTCAGAACTCACTTTCTCTCTCTTGATTTCTTCATTTTCCTGTATTTCTCTCTCTAGATTCTTTGTATTCTCCCGGTGAATATTTCATTTTACTGAAATGGCGATTAGAGGTTTTGTGGTGATGGTTACGGTGGCGATGTTGATCGTTTCCGCAATCGCGCAATCGCCGTCGGCATCTCCGTCATTGTCTCCGACTAAATCGCCGTCTAAGGCTCCGTCGATTTCTCCGTCTGTAGAGTCGCCGAAATCCTCTCCTGCTGCAGCGCCTACTCCAGCATCTTTGAAGTCTCCGCCATCTCCTCCTGCTGCTTCTCCGTCTCTGTCTCCTTCTCCTTCTCCATCGTCGATATCCTCTCCTCCAGCAGACGCTCCTGCTCCGTCTGGTAACGCCGCCGCTTCGATCTCTTTCTCGATGTTCGGATCTGTGGCCACTGTGCTGTACGCCATCGTTTTGATGATCTGAGAGCTATTTGATTTGATATTGATTAGTCTCTGTTCTCTCTGTATCTGAGTGATTTATTTCGTAGTTGCTTACCGAGTACATTATATTTCGTTTTTTCTTTTGTTCTTTTTTTATTTTTTTGTGTATCTTTCACAGTTTGGGATGGACTCTATACTATCTTCTTTTATTCTTTCGTCTGATATAATTTGTTTCATTGGTTCTTAGTCATGTCGATTATGTGTTTCTTCTTGTCGATGGAGCTCTTCTGTCTCTGATTCTCATAATTCATTAAATTGTATCACATTTTTTCCTCCTTTTAACAGTTCAGGT